AAAGTAGAAAAATAGCATCAATTCCTAAACTCAATCTAAAAAATTATTACAAGAAAGCTCCCGACAATCCAATAGGATCTTAACATTTTTTCATAGGAAGCTTCCCAACAATAATAAGTTCCATGACACGAGTAATTGCGTAAATATTTGGAAGGAGAACTCAAGAAGCAGCATAGAAGTTCAACCATATTAAACCCCACGAACTTTCTTATTCTTGAAAAGCCACAGATTTCTTTCAAACCAGATGCGCCAAATCACAGACGTGACGATACACTCCACAAAACTCCTGTTTCCCTCTTAAACCATGATCACAAAGTAGACAACAGAAATTGTTCTTTAACATTGAAATCGTAAAGCCCTTTGCATCCAAACTTCAGAAACAGAGCTTCCCAAAATTCCTGCTATGAGGAACAGTGGAGGAACAAGTGAAGAACAACCTTCCCAGCTTTGAGACTGAACAAGTAATGAGCAGCCTCCCCAGCTTTGAAACTTAATAGTTAGCGATTAAATGAGATTAAAATTTAAATTTAAAAAAAAAAAAAAAAAAAAAAAAAAAAAAAAAAAAAAAAAAAAAAAAAAAAAAAAAAAAAAAAAAAAAAAAAAAAAAAAAAAAAAAAAAAAAAAAAAAAAAAAAAAAAAAAAAAAACAAGCGGAAAATCCCTGTCCAATGAAGATTACAAAAGAATTTCCAATGGGCTCTAAGAGATGATAAGTTATAGTTACAAAATGATGGAGACAATTTATGCCATGTAAGCCAAAAAAAATAAAAAAGTAATAGATTCTACAAGCCGGTCAATGCATTGTTCATTCTCGGTCAAGATTTGAACGCTCCTTTTCAGCCAAGACCAAATACATCCTAAATGCCAGCTAAATTAAGTAGCAACTTGGATTCAAGGACCACCCTGAACATTTTCTTTGAATCTTATCCAAGGTGTTTAAGCTCTCCATAAAATATTCACCTTTTAAGGGCAAATTGTATTCCTCAAAGCTGTCACAAAAGAATTTAGAAGGGAAATAGCAAGATAAGCTTCACTAAAAAGTGATCCAACAGGGAAAAAAATCTGAACTAGCCAAACTCCAGCATCTCTGATCTTTCTATCTAGAGATTGGTACTTCTTTTGACAATTTCAAAATACTTCAATAATTAACCACTTCCTCATCCCTCAGGTTTCTTCTAACAGTAACTCTCCAGGACCTTGAATTCACATCCCAGCATCACAAACCAGAAAGCCCCACAGTACTGACAACTGAAAAATACTTGAAAGATATATATTTAGCATTTCCATTACACACACACCACCACCACCACCTTACACCACAGCTCATTTGGTTCATTTACGAGCCTTCAAAGGCATTTATTCGGAAGACCTAAAATTTTTCATTAGATTTCTCCATCACCCAAACCCCTGCACTCCAAAGGATTAAACACAACGTTCCATCCAACTAAATGAGAGATCTTCATGTCATAGTCATCATTTCCTTAGCAAAAGACATTTCTCATACTTTTCTCCATTCTCAGCCGTCCATTCATCAGTAAAACGAGAAGAGACAAAAAATTGGAAAATAAGCAAACACCAGATTACTTGAAGTAATCCTTCCAACTCTAGTTTTCCATCTGCAGAAAGCCTGTAGCCACTCTTTTCCTTATAATCAAAGCAGAACACATACAGGCCAGCAAGAAAATTTATACAAAAAGCCTTCATCAAACCCCATGAATTAAGGAAATAAAGCCATTTCATCCAGAAAAATATAACCAAGACTCCCAGCATGCTACAATAAGAATTAACTACATATATATTCACCAAAAGCATTAAATATGGACAAGAAAAGAAGCCCAAAATAACAAGTCAACAGACATTCTAAATAGAACCAGAAAATGATGAATTGAGACTGGGCAGTTACTCATCTTTTCCCAAAAACATTTACTTCAAGAAAAATAGAAAAATATTCCCAACGAGCAAACCTGATGAGCACGCTTGAAAACTGCAATGTCAGACCCATAAGCAGCAAACGTGTACTCACGGTAGGAAGCAAGAGCTCGAATCTTCTTCGGCAATTGAGGGCCTAAGAATCAAGCATCAACACGAATAAGTAGAATCACAAAACACAAGGATGAAACCAAAACAGAAACTTTAGAAACACTCCACATGAGAAACTTTCTAAAGACAACAAAAAACTGAAACTAAATCAAACGTTAAAAGAAAAAAAAAATCACTCACCAACGAGCACCAAGTTTAACTTCGCGCACTGAAAAAAGAAAAAAGAGAACATAACAACGATTAAGCTCCAAAGTGAAAATTCAGGGAAAAAAAACAAAAAAAAAAAACAGTAAGATCGGAAACTAAAACGGATTAAGCAATTAACGAGGAGAAAAAGTCACAATAATGGAAATTTTGCAAGGAAAAGAAGTATTGTCCAAGAGAGTGATCTTACATTATAAACTTGAAAAGCTTTGCCAACGCTAACGGTGACGAAGGTTTCGGTTCCGAGTCTCTGCACAGAGAAGGGGACGCTGTTCGTAATGTAACCAATTGCTCTGTAAGGTTCAAATATTCCCATATTTTGCAGTCACTCTCCGAGAAGTCCCGAAGCTTAAGAGGCGCAGAGAGTGCAAGAGGAAGAAGAACTGAGAGAAAAGTTACAGGCTTTTCTTCAGCTGCGTTCCCTAATGGCAACGAAGAAGAAGGGGCGAAGCCTAGCAGCGCTTTCAGGGTTTTGTGGCCGCCGACCACAACGGAGGTTTAGCAAATAATCTCATCTTTTTACCAAAATGCCCTTATATCAACCCTATACTATACCTATATTATATTAATTTATTTAGATTTCAAATTAAATGTCCAATTTTTATCACATACTTTCAATAAATATAAATATTAGTTCACAAAATTATTATTATTTAACAAATTTTAATGAAAATTTGGTATATTGATTAAAATTTGAATGGAACATAAACCCTAACCTAAAAAATAGAGCAAATTACATTTTTTTTTTGTTTATGATATTTAGATTTCAATTAATAGAATAGAAGCGTCACGTGACGTTTATCAAATAATAATAAATATTATTATTTCAATTATAACTATTCGATGACCTTCTTTCTTTCTTTGCAATATCATATCATCAATTGTATACAAATTTTTAAGTTATTAATACAATTTTGAAGAGTGTGATTGTCATGTATGAAAATCATGTTCAAGGAGTAACCGAATGAGTTTATAGTATACGATAAGGTTGAGTATCTTATCTGTAACACTATTAATACGACATTTTCTATAATCGTTACTAATTATTTGATCTAAATCATTTATGCGGAGACAAATAAATGTGGTGTCCTAGATAATAAATTTATACAATATTTAATCCTTCTCAGAGAATATTAATATTTCACAAGATAATCATATGTAACTTGGCCTTAATTCTAAGTGAGTTGTGAACTCTTGTAACAAGGACTTATCTTTTTATTTGTAGGGTGAGGATAACTTTTGTAGGTGATTTAATATGTTTGCTATTTTAGGAACTTGACCGTAGAGAGGGTTGTGAACATAATTTCACATTCACTCTTTCTACATCTATAGGAGTAAGTAGACGAGTAGTTTCCTTAACTTTTGATTTGGAGACTTGAACAATGGGACTCCACCCTTTCGTTGTCTCGAACTTGACTTAACCTATAGTCGAATCATAAAAGAATGGTTCATTAGAAAATCAATAGTAATTAATGTTTAATATGTAATTGGAGTAAGTAGATTTGAGATCTGCTAGAAATTTCTTCATATTTCTTCGAAATAAGTTTGTTTGACCGTTAGTTTTGTTTAACTCTAAATAAATTTAAAATCGATTCTAACACTTTTCGCTGTGTGAGTTAAACCTTCATTACAGTAATAACTATATTATAACAAAAGACTTTCTTCTAAAAAAAAAAAAAAAAAGATCTTTGACATTATCCACGTTTGCAGTATTATCAATAAGTTCATCTAATTTCAAAAATCGACTTTTCTTTTGAACAAATGAATTAGAATTACTCACATCTCACCATTTAATGGTAGAACGGAAGATTGTACTTTTATGCTTGAATTTGACATATCTTCGTTACATCTTTTACACATATCTCATGGAATTTTTACAACAATAAATACTCTAACAATGCACTCGTGGATATACCACATATACAAACCTAATGTAAGTGGGACTTTACTATGTTCAAATTATATGCATAATCTTCGTATTCTATGATTAGTTCAAAGCGAGATACAAGTAGTTCTTCTCATATTCAAAAAAAAAGATCGAATTTTGCTTGGGGTTTCTGTTTTTCAAAACTATGGTTGTACATTCTTCACATACATCATGCTTCGACAAGTTTTTCCTTTCTTCCTTTCTGCAACTCCATTTTGCTGCTGGAATGTGTTGTGTGAGCAGCTAAACGGATAACAAACCTAAAAATAATCATCAAAGAAAGAGGGGAAAGCTTGCTTGTCGTAACCCTCTTTTTATCTGTCGTAACCCTCTTTTTATAGATTAGGCTTGGTAAGCATAAGCTATTTAAGTAGCTCAAGAAGGGTAGACTAGCAGCTTCGAAACTTTTAGTCAAGTGGGAGCACTCAACCTAGGAGCTTTGAAAGGATAGGGGAAGAGAATAAAACAAAGAGGGTCACTCCTTTTAGGAACATGACTCGTTCATTCACTTAATCATGAACTCGCAACTTAACCAAAAGCGACGAAGGGGGAAGTGTAGAACCTTTGCCCCATGCTTTACAAAGATTGTTATGAACGGACTAAATGACTCGATTCTCGAGTTTGATAGGTTTATTAATAATGTTACAAATGTTGATGTTAAATCAGCAATGAATTCTTACTTAATAAAAGTATTTTACCATGGACGGTTATTTTCAACATTTAAAATTGTAAAAATTAAACGGGATATACGATCTATGGTAATCATTTCTATCGCTACCCTTGCTTTAGAGGTAGATATATAGGTACGTGAGGGAGGAAGACTATAATGTGTTAGGAAATGAGAGATAAATATGTTGAAAAAATTATTACATATTTTTATCCTAAATAAAAAGAAGAAAAGAATAGATTTGCTAGTCCAGCCAATAAGGTTGTTAGCCTTACTATGATGACGTGCTACTATTTGATTGGCTGCTTGAGCTTTCAACCCAAGATCCGCACTGCTCTTGATGTATTCTCATTGGTTCCTGTTTTACGATTAAGAATCAATCAAACTCATCCAATTTCAACACCATGAACGGCAGCAAGAAGATGAAGAAGAGTGAAGTTACCTGAGAAGAAGAAGTCTGGCTTGTATATGGCGATGAAGATGCACTGCTGCGGTTGAACGCCCGAATTCTCATACTCTCTTCCGCCATCGCTCTCAACCGATTGAGCTCCGGCAGCACCACCTTCCCAAGATCCGGCCGATCCCTCTTCCTCATCTCTGTACATTTCATCGAAAGCTTCGCGAACTTCAGCGCGTCTTCAAATGGCCAGTCCTTTACCTCCGGATCAAGCATTTCTGCAAATTTTCCCTTCTTAATCGCCCTCTCGACGGCGTGTGCTAGTCCGATCGGCGGCCTGCCAGTGACTATTTGCAGAAGCATCACGCCCAGCGAGTAAATGTCGGATTGAATCCCTAGCAATCCTGTTAGCTGATACTCTGGATCGATGTAGCAGAACGTTCCTGCCGTAGCCGTCATCCGATACTGAGTCACTGAATCGGCCACCGATAGAGGAACTAGCCTCGCCAGTCCGACGTCGCTGATTTTGCTCACGTAGTTCCGATCTAGCAAAATGTTCCCTGGTTTCAGATCGCGGTGTACGATCGGCTCTGGTCTGTGTTGGTGCAGGAAGAGCAGTCCGGTCGCGATCTCCGCCGCGATTCGGAATCGTAACTGCCATGAAAGAACTGGATTGTTGGCTTTTCGGAAGAGACAGTCTTCTAAGCTTCCGTTCCCCATGAATTCGTAAACTAAACAACCGTTCTCAGGACAGGCTCCGAGAAGTAAAACCATATTCGGATGTCGAATACAGCTTAGAACTTCAACTTCTTGCTGAAATTGCGATCGGCCATGAGCAGCGTCCGGCCGGAGAACCTTGATAGCCACCGGCGTGTGGTCGAGTTTTCCACGGAAGACTGGACCGTAACCGCCTTCGCCGATCTTCAAAGAATTAGAGAAGTGGTTCGTGGCGATTTCAATTTCTTCGATTGTGTATTTTCTGTATCCAATTTCTCCATGGCCGAATCCTGAGAGTGCTTTTTTCGTTTCCTCTGCCTCCATGTCTGCCATTCTCTCTGCATTCTCTCTTTTCCTCGCCTCGAGTTCTGCGATCTTCTGAGCGGCTTCGGCTGCCTTAATTGCTGCTTGGCATTTCATCTTCTCCCTCTCTGCCATTGCTAATGCTGCTTCCTCCGCCATTCTCGCCTCTTCGAACCTTTGCTCTTCTTCCACTTTCCAGCGATGGAGCTCGGTCGCCTGCAAATAAATCGATTCGTATCCGGTTTGTTGAGTCAAAATTATAGATCTACGAGGAAAGGATTTGAGGTTTCGGAAATGGCGAAAGAAAGAAACCTTTTGATTAGCATTTAGGGCTTCTTTACAGGCCGTACTGTACATGTCCATGGTTTGTTTGAGCTCCAGTTTCAGCCTTCTCATCTCAGCTTCAACATCGTCCTTTTGAATTGCAGGAAAATTATTTCAGATTCAAGAACTGAAAAGCATAGAGAGAGGGAAAACATGGAAGTGAATCACCTGGGCATGAGAATGAGAAGGGCGAGTGAATGTGTCGCTTTCTATGGAGCAAGAGGAGAGATCCTGAGAGTAAGAAGAGAAGTTGTTATTATCAATGGACTTGTTCATTCCACTTTCGATTTCCAATGTAGGCGAAGGCGAAGGCGGAGGCGGACCGGGGCTGGAAGTTTCCGACTCAGAGACGTTAGAAAGTCGATACGAGTCTCTGCAGGTGGCGTAGGACAACGCCCCCGAGAAGCCACGGTCCACGCTCCGCCTGCCGCAGCTGACAAACGAATTGTCGGAATCCACCGTCGATGGGTCCACCCTTTTGCTCACTGGAGCCCTTGAACCCTGCCTTGTGAACGGCGACCTGCTCACCCCCACCAAAAACATTCCATTATCAGCGTAAAAAAAAAAAACTCAATACTATCCTAAACCGTATCAAAAAAATAACTATGGTTTTGTTTTGAACCTCCGCTTCAGTCAAATGGAGAGGTTTGTGAAATTATCCACTTTAAGTATAAGTTCTAATGGTTTTGTTTTGGACTCCACCAAAAGTCCTCATGCAAATGGAGAGGTTTGTGAAATTATCCGTATAAATTCTAATGGTTTTGTTTTGGACTTCACCAAAAGTCCTCATGCAAATGGAGAGGTTTGTAACGATCAGACACAAGGCTAGCCGATATTGTATTTTTTGGGTTTTCCCTTTCGGGCTTACTCTCAAGACAAGCTTTAAAATGGGTCTATTGGGAAAAGGTTTCCACACCGTTATAAATGGTGTTTGTTCTCCTCTTCAACCGAGACATCACAATCCACCCCTTTCGAGACCTAGTGTCCTAGCACACCGCCTCGTGTCTACCCCCCTTCGAGGAACAGCGGGAAGGCTGGCACATCATCCAGTGTTTAGCTCTGATATCATTTGTAACGACACAGGCACACCGCTAGTAGATATTGCTTTTACAAGGTTTTAAAACGCTTTCATCCAACAAGCATTAATATCCTTTGAAAATTGTATATTTACATTTTATAAATTATCTCTAAAATTTTTAATATTAATAAAAATATTTTTAATCTAAAATATTTAAATGTGTATTTTAAGTTTTATTTTTTATTTTTTTATTATAGAGCCTTAATGAAATTTAAGGTAATTTCTTAGACAAGTAAAGGGTATATATATATATATATATTTTTTAATTTATCCTAACATTAATACAAAACATTTTATAATATTAATATAAAATAAACAAAGTATGGTTTGGATAGTCTTTTAAAATAGTATTTATTAAAAAGTTGTAATGTATGGGAGGGCAAAGACGTAAAATCACCTACTTGAAGTCCAAATATTGTTGAAGGGCATGAGGAACCCTCATACTACTTTGAGTCTCTAAACCTGCAAAAATCAAATCACCAAAGGATAAAATAGTCTTTTTACATCTGTAAATAAATAATAATCTTACACAGAAATTAAATTAATTCGAAAATATTTGATAATTTATTTAATATGCAAGAAAATAGAAAATATGATTGAGAAGAAGAAGAAGACATACGTCTAGATGATTTGGACCATAGTTGGTTGGGCTCAGCCAGAAGTTGGGAGACATTAGTGCGTTGATGCAGCAGTTGAGGGCGCGGCGAGGCACGCAGCGACTGGTTGCGCGGCGGAGCAATCGGCCTTGCCGGCATTGGAACTGTGGGCTGCCTCACCGAAACTTTCCCTCTGTGGCCGATGGTGTAAACTGTGCAGAAATCTGGTGCTCCTTTTGATACACTGCTTGGCACATCTGATTTGAATCTCCTGCATTAACAACAAGAACATCATCATCATCATGAATAAGCATTTCTTTTTGTTGAGATTCAAGTCAGATGAAGAGGAAATTACTTGTAAATTTGTGCTGCTGATCTTGTAGGTGCTCCCATTACTAAAATGTCTACAACGTTTTTGGAGACGTAATTTGTTAATGTCTTTGGAATGTCTGATCCCTCTATCATCACCTCATTGCATGTTATCTGTGTTTTTCAATCACATTATTTATAGATTTAGCGTTACTCAGATATGTGTTCGAGAGAGGGAGAAACTGACATTGCTACTTGTGCAAATGCAACGAAAAGGAAGGAAGAACTGATCGCTGATATGATTGTCGATGTGATGATGTTTGTACAAAGCGGTCTCGCCGTGATCGAAATCGGCATTGAGATTCGTCGCTACAAACCGATTTGTAAAAGATTTAAGAAGAATCGCTCAATTTCAAAAGTTAGGGTTTATAATTTCTTACTCGCATTCGCGGCGGAAGAGGATTTGTGTTTAACGTGAAGCAGAGTAACGACTTGGCCTCTGCTCAGAAGGCGATCGATTGTCCATTTCAAAGCCTGTTGGCTGCCTTTGTCTTTGTCGATCGCCACCACCATCTCTTTCTTCTGAGCTCCGCCTCTCGCCATTAAATTTCTTCGATCGACCTCTTCTCTTCTCTTCTTCAGAGAAGGAAGGGAGAGAAAAAATGGTTTTAATTGAGAAGGGGATCTTGTGAGGAAGATCCACGGATCGGGGTTTTGGAATCAAGGGAGTAACCGAATCGATCATTGTGAGTATCTATTTTGAAGTGGTTTCTGTTGAAATTGAACCAGAAGAAGGATTTGTTGTACAAAATTGTCAGTTTGTCGTTGCATTATTGTTGAAGACGATAGGGTGTCAGTTTCCTTCCTTTAGTTCATTATTTTTTATGAATTCATATAATACTTAACCTATGCTTAAACTTTATATTGTATTCTTCTTTTTTTTTTATTCATTGTATTTGCATGAATTCATATAATTTTTCCCTCCAAAATGTGTCAGACGTGTGACCCATCAACCTACTAGCAACTAGCAAGGTGGGAGAAGACATAATAAAAGCTCGATTCTCTACGTCTAAAATAATGTCGTTTGTTACAAAAATAAAAGCTCATTAGTGCCCCGGGACGGGAGTTGGGGAAGAACCCTACGCGCAGGCAACAACAACACCATCTCTACGAAGTCAGAATTGAATCTTTCTGTTGGCTTTCCCGATTGAACCAGAATGAAAGGGCTACAATCTCTAACTTCTAGCTACCTCACCTGCTTATTATGATTAGGGCGGAAATGAATGTGCTATTTTTAAATCGATTGATAGATAGCCTAATGATAGATTGCATTCCCATTCAATTGAAAATATATATATATAGTATTAATAATTAGAACTAAAAAATTAATGTTTATAATCTATTTAAAAACATATGGATTAGGTAGACATTTTATTGATATTTTCATAAAATTGTTACATCTATAAATCAAGATAATTTCACCTCAAATTATTGAAATACATGAAAATTCAATCCAATGATCTTGTGGAAGAACAAGACCTTTAAATCTTTACAACGATAGCAACGTACATGACTTTATATAGTCTCAAAATAAAACACTGACCTTAAAGTAGTCCGTAGGTAAATGTAACTTAAAAGGTAAATAAAAAGTCCTAAAGCTAGAAAATACATTAATAAAATACCATAATTCTAGATTTTCATCCATTAACAATTTATAACCATATAAAAATAAATGAATCGCAACTTGAATTATCTAAAAATGTAATTTAAAGTTTTAGTTTTAACTTGGTAAGTTATTGGTTACTTTAGATAATTTTGAGTTTATTTTTAATAATAACATCGATTTAAAATAATTATGACAATTTAGAGTTTCCCTTTATACTATTATTAATACTTTTAGAATTTAAATTATAAATTTTTTATTCTGCGATTTGATGGTATATAAATATGAGCAAGTTGTTTTTCATTTCAAAATTTACATTTAATAGAATTTCTTTTTTGAAAGATTAATGATGTTTTTTAAAAAAATTATTTAAAACAATAATTATATAGTTCAATCTAATAATTATGAATGATAAGTTACCATAAAATATTAATATTATATGAATTATGCTTAAATTGGTAAAAAGATTTAAATATAACGACTTTGACTTTTCATACCCGATTATTTTAAAGACAAGAAAGACACTAAAAAAAACAAGTAAAACATGCTCGAGTTGCCTCTTTAAAAAGACAAACCAATGCTAATACCTCTTATCAAGAGCAATTCATAAGTTCCCCAACCACCAAATAGGAGCTTTGCTACCACAAGATATTCAAATTAAAGCATCAAAATAAATATGTAACAGCTCAAGCTCACCACGAGTAGATATTATGTATTTTGGTCCGTATCGTCGTTAGCCTAACGATTTTTAAAACGTGTCTACTAGGGATAGATTTTTACACCCTTATAAGAAAGACTACATTTTTCTCTCCAAACGATGTGAGATCTCACACATCCCATGACTGACTCTTTATCTTGCTCATCACTCTCGTGCTACAACCTTACCTTTACCTAAAAAGCATTTTGAAAACCAGCAAAATCAAGAGACTAATTTAAACATTGACATTGGAATCGAGATCAACGAGTCTATTAGCGTCTCGAGTAAGCTCAAGCTTCTAAACAAATAATAAGCTTGATGCTTCACCTGCAAAACAGCTAACAATACCCCAAAGATGCAGGCATTGATTTAAAATATATAAACTCCACAATACCAGAAAAGATTATTTCATCATTGATTTAAAACATATGAACTCCACAATACCAGAAAAGATTATTTCATTACCAAAATTGGAAAGTTCATACAAGTACAAAGCAACTGTTTCCACAAGATATACAAGCAGTACCTTACAGTGTTTGCTGATAAATAAAACAAGGAAAAAGAAGAAAAACGGTAGATAGTGAACATATTACACCCATATATATATGTATATGTATATATTTATATATACTCTCCGGACTACAGAATGTCATTGAAAGAATACATGCTCTTAGAAACTTATGGATAGAGTAATTGGTAGAAAAAAGTATTTCACAATTTTGGCATCCATTCTATCAATCAACACATAAAACCAGTCCAATTCTTAAAAGATGCTGATTTCTCAAGGGAAACCAAATTTTCGAGGGAACAGTTCGAAGAGGGGCGACGACAAAGATCGAGTTCATTCCAGTGTCCACTTTTGCTTCTTGTGTCTCAGCCTGTTTCCATGTCCTTCAGTTTTTCTTTCATTGTTTTTTTCTTTTTTTTCCTTTTCTTATTCAGTTTCTATTGTGTACTGTGAGATGTGTTCGGACTGAGAATTAGGTCATCGACTTCACCGTGAAGCACGGTACCAGAATCGGTATCTTTCGTACATTGAAAGCCCTCCAGCATTTGTACCACCTGGCTCATAAGGGGTCTGCCTTTTGGATTTTGGCTCAGACATTGATAAGTCAAATTAGCAACCTTCATTGCAGTTTTAGTTGAATATTGTCCTTCAATTCTAGGATCCAATATCTTCAAAATTTTCTTGTTGTGGCTCAAGAGCGGGCGAGCCCACTCAACCAGGTTGTGCTCTCGACTTGGTCTGTTCTTGTCCATTACTCTCCTGCCAATAAGGATCTCAAGTAGAACCACCCCAAATCCATAAACATCACTTCGGGCAGTTAAATGTCCTGGTAATATCAATACATGGACTAAGTTCTTGGAAAGGGCAGAGCAACCAACTTAAGTTCATCCTTTACATTCAAGAACTAGAAGGAAAAAGGGAAATACAACATCTAGCAAATCACTCATGATTTTTTCAATCAATTAATTTTGATAAACAGAGGCAGTAACCATGACTGATAAGATGCTTACATATTGACTAAACAAGTACATGCAAACATTCTTGTTCAATATACCAAAAGAATAAAAGGCTGTAGCTATTGTAATTGTTCTGTATTAGGTACCTACAAACTCACCTGTCATTACATATTCGGGAGCAGCATATCCATATGTACCCATCACTCTTGTTGACACATGAGTTTGATCTCCCATAGGCCCTTCTTTTGCAAGGCCAAAATCTGAAAGCTTTGCATTGAAATCCTGATAAAGGTTACTTCAAGTTCAGCAGAAGAAATTAAGATTAAAAGAACTCAATATACACAAATTCTTCTTTGTTCATCCCTAGTACTGACTCACCTAGAGAGTTGAATTGGCTGTCAAACTTTTCTTTGGGAATTTATAACTGAGAAACTTGACTACTGCCTCTAAGGAAGAATAACGCCTGACTAATAAAACAAAATGATAGAGAAAGAAACTAACTGTATCAAGCAAGATATTTGATGACTTCAAATCACGATATATGATAGGTGTTTCTGCACCATGAAGAAACGCAAGTCCCTTTGCAGCATCTAAAGCGATTTTCATTCTTTTTGCCCAACTCAGTGAACTACCCACTCCTAACACCGTAGAAAAATGCAATGAGGGAACTGAGAATTAATAAATAAGCATGTTTTTCGAGATAAAGTGTATATAATAAATAAGCCATATTCAAAAGCACTTTTTTAACTTCCCAAACCCATTAAACCAGCCGTTGGATCACATCATCTCCCTCTAAAGTTTAGAAGGAAAAAAAAAAAAGTTGTCAATTAGTGGCTGTTGTTAGCAGCATGAACCAAAGGTAGGAATAATTTGAAACCTTAAAGCATAATAAAAACTTCTAAAAGTTCATGAATTAAGTAGATAAAATACTCAAATCTATGGATGAAAATGTAATCAAATGGAAAACCACGAAAATGCATAGAAATTGTTTGGATGACTTAATAAGACTTCAACAATTGCTTAATAGGATTCAAAACACCCTTTTCAACATTAATATATATAAACATAAGATTATATCGATATGTAATGTCACTAGAAGGAAATTTTTATAAGATAATTGAAGAAATTAATAAAAATAAATAATAAACAGAGAAATAGATTAAAATCATAACATTTATTATTAAACAGAAAGAGATGTTGGAATAGCATATTATACGTGGCCCATTTTGTGGCTTAAAAATATGGGTAAGTCATACTTCATCTTGAAAGAAATTTTGCTGGTTGGGGCTTTTAAGAAATCTAAATGAAATATTTCACTTAATCATAGTGAAAAGTCCATGTCCCACATAGAACAAGGGGCAAATTTTGTGGTAGGCTGACCTCTTGCTATCCACTGAGGACTTTGGTTAAGAAAGAATTACATCATTCTTAAGGATTGTGAAAAATCTTGGAGGAGCTCAAAGGTGTTGCCACTTGTTAGGCTTAATGCCTCTGCTCGGGTGTCGGTCTCCGAGGACATTTTTAATTATCTGTTAGGTCTTATTATTTCGAATTGGAAGCCTTTTTCATATAGTGTGACACACAATTGATTTTGAGACAACCTCCATTTAACCAAGTGAGAGCCCCACCCTCCTGAACTCTCTCCCAAAGAAAATATCTTATAATCTTCTCCAGCCTACAACTAGTAGTAGAGAGAATCCTCTTCGACAAAGTCAAGAAGTAGGTGAGAAAGCCACTTACAAAGTAAAATCGATATTCAATCCAACAATCAGGGAGAAGAACACATTGTTACCGTAACGAAAGACTTTTTGAATTTGTTAAATTATTGGGCCCCAAGACAAAAAAAAAAAAAGATTGTATGCCTGAGGAAGGTAGTAGATAAAGTGGAGACCTCACGCTCAACAACAAATACCCATCTAGCAAACCGAAAACTCCCAATTGAACTGTTATCCTCGTTGATTTTAAGGCCTAAATAAGTTAAAAATCTGCCAGAATATTATTTCTGTTGACAAAAGAATCCTCCCTCCCTGAGCAAAAGCAGATTATATCATTAGCATTGAAAATGGGAGGAAA